GCTTTCCTGCATGCTGAGATGAAAGTGGGTGACAAAATGCACTCGCTTTCCGAACACACACACACAAACACACACAGACAGCCTCTCGACAATATGCCTTTTTGTTGGCTGTGGCAGCGCTATAGCGCTGCACAGCAAAAACGCATAAAAATGAAGGGAGGAATAAAAAGTGAGGAATGAGAAAAGGCAAAGGAATGACGTGGGTTAGGACTGAATAAGTAGCGGCGGGCAATAAGATGTTTGGTGCGGTCATGCGTTTTGTGTAATTTCGACCGACGGACTTTTGCTTCCTAAGGATCTCTGCTTTGCACTTTGGTCTGTGCAAAAATGGTTGAAATGATTTCTGGTTCCTAAGTTGCGAGCGAGTACGTGAAATGCGAAGTGTGTGGAAGCTGAATTTGAAACCCTGGACGTCGAACACTTCCAAAATTTCAGCCTCCCAGTTCTCCGACTTCCGAATAGTTATTTTCATGCCAAACTGTTCATGCAGTCGTATATGAAGTCTCGCCACACTTGGGAGTTGTTTGGGTTTGTTAGGTCTCTGCAAAAGCAGACAAAATCATTGTGGAGTTTCCAGCCTCTCAGCTGTTCATGCTCGAGATAATAATTTTTCCCGCCAAAACTTTTATAGGGCAGTACATGAAATCTAGTATATTACTAAAACACGGCTCGGCTCGGCCCGGCCCGTCTCACACACGAATTGCAAAAAATTTTTTTTCGGAAGGCGGGTAGGGATGCCCCACGGCGGATGGCGGTAGTTTGAATGTGGTGCCAGTGTAAGTTAAAAAAAGTAGAGGGGAAGGATATTTATGGCTTTTCAGGTCAAGCATATGTGAGTGTAACTTATCAGGGTAGGCGCATTTTACAGCCCCTTGAGGCTATCCATACACCTCCTACTTTGGCAACCCCCCATTCTTCCCGTATATATAAGCTCAGTTTTTTGGCACAAGATTCAGTCGCTCCGGTCCACTTGGACTGAGTGGCGGGGGCGAGTTGTTCGCCCACAGCTCTCAGTCCTCACTACCCATGGGAGGGGTGCGGCTTAGGGAAACTGAGTAGCGGGGGCGAATTTAGTCCCTTGTCCTCAGCCCTCAGTACCAGGGGAGTGCGGCTTAGGGGGACTGAGTAACTGGGGTGAGTTTGGTCGCCCACTACTCTTAGTCCTCACTACCAGGGAGGAGGGAAAATGGGGAAATTTGATGCTTAGGAAGAGAGAGGAGCGGGGAGGAGTGTGCATCCACTAACCGCCGCTCGCCCCTCCACGCACCCCCCACAACCACGGCTGCCCCTCTACCATCCCGCCTCCCCACCAGCCAGGCCATACAGCCGCTGCGGCCTGGGTAACGTTGCCCTGCTTTCTTGGCAGGCTGCCAAACGATCCCAGTGAACGACGCCACGAAACACCTTTGCCAGAGATGACAGAGGGCTTCCAAAGCACCAACGACCACCAGCCAAGCCGAGCCGAGTTGTAGTTTTTGCCCGTACGTGCATATAGATTAATTTCCCAAAATTTTAGCAGTGTATCTTCTGTAGGTCTTGAGATGAAAAATTGGTACAAAGGCCCGGCACACACACACACACAGACACAACACACACACAAAGACAACCTCTCGTCAACATGCGTCTTCCGCATTGCACAGCTGCAAAAAACGCATAAAAATGCCGCAGGAGCTTAATGCGAAGTGGGTCTGAAAATGCACTGAAAGCAGTGATGTAAAGTGCTGGTTTGCCCGCAGTCAATCTGTGAATGAACAGTGTTAACTGAAAAGTGACGTTTATTCAATTTTTTCTTTTGTCAAAAACAGTGTTAAATTAAAATTTATTCAAAAAAAAAACAAAAAATTTAAAAAATGTTCAATCAGCACAGCAAAGTCTGCGACTTTTATGGCAGCACGCTCTCCTTCTGCGACCAGGAATTGAACGGCACTGATAAAAGTGGACAAGGAAGACGCACATTAGTTGCAGCTGTTGCGGCAATGAATCACGTTTCGCATTCTGATAGCAAGAAAATGACAGACTCATAAGAATTCAAATCAGCTATGACCATCCCGTGACAGTATACCCTTGTATTTGCTGTGATCATGCGATAAAAATGCACTACTCTAAAATGCCATTTGACCATCGCGCCAAAATATTGCGCCTCGACAACCAAATAATAAACAGTGAAAAGTTTTCCGGTATTAAAAACTTCCGCCTCGTTTCGACCAGGTATGGTCAGCTCAGTTTACCTTGTTTTGCTTATCTTTTTTTTCCCCTTTCTATTCTTAATTTATAAGCATCACTGCTAGGCTTCATCGTTACTGAATGTATGCTCAACACGCCACTTTTTCGGCAATAAAGCTAATGAAGCTGCTGCCCTTTCAGGCCATTAAATGGCGAGAAGTCACAGTCGAAGTCAGAATGTTTTGCAGTCGCAAAAAGCAAAATGAAATCTAGTCCTATTAAGCAGGAGGTTGCTGCCGGCGCATATTCAGTAGCTGCTTCAGCGGCTCGACATCACTGGCTTTCAATTTCGGTTTTGGAGAGGTCGATGCCGTCGGCTGGTTTTCCGAAGCCCCCTCTGATACTAGCCTGAAACTGAGCGATTAGTTTTAAAAATTCTTCTTTTAAAAATTTTAAAACCTTTAAAAATTTGTCACATACAAAAGTAGAAAAGCAAGCGCTACTCTTACAACAGCAAATAACTAACTTGTGAGGAGAACGACGAGCAGCAAGCAGTTTAACATTTTCATCAACTGTAGCAGCTGGTGCTGACGAGGAATTCGACCCTGGCAACCATCCTGTTTGCCGATAGGTTTGTAGAGCCTCATGCGCTGCACGGATCGATTCCATCATCTGAAACGTTCTGCAGAATGCTGATCAGAAAGCAGCTTCACATTCTCAATGATTTTTGTGCAGTCAACAAACTGTTTCGAGATCCCTGAAAGCCACTGCCAGTGTCTTACAGAAAACTGAAACAGAAGGATTTTGTACTGACTGTGAAATTTCCCAATGCTTAAATTCACAGGATGAGATTAAGCTTGCCGAAAAAACGCAAAGACTTTATAAAGCCTGTTAAATGCTTTTGTAACCAACGCGAAGAAAAGCTGACATTAAATTCACACCTAAACTAACAGTACGAAGGAATGCAACGATAAAGCAACAGCTGAATGAAGTATCGCGAAACTGTTTGGAATACAAACTAACATTGTAGAACTCATCAGTAATTCCTGGAGTCTCACGATCTCCATGTTCCATTTTTTTCAGATGAAATGTGATAAACTCCTGCAGTGAAAAGCACCATTAACTTGATTTTATCATTAAAGCAAAGCCACCCACAGCAATAACCACAGAATGCCACAACAAAAAAAAGCGCGTAACAAAAGACCTATGCGATCACTCGTTTCTGCGATCAGCTATTACTGATGCACTGCATCATCAGTATGCAAAAAACTGCACTATGGCGACCTTCCGGTTCCAGATGGTGCATGTAACTACCAGAATGTCGAATGTGTGGGGGAAATTCTGAAATCAGTTTTACAGCTTTTAGCGTGATAATCTGAACTTAGAACTCCGGCTCGTGACAGAATATGTTTTGAATGTTAATTTTAGAACCACCACTGCAAACTTTCTGGAAAATTTGATTTTTGTAGACTGTTTTAACTGGTCTCACAATATCAGTTCCACTGAAGCCGTAGGCTACAGACATAGCAAAAATTAAAAGCTGATCCCACATCATTCAGTTCGCATTAAACGAACAGTAATTTTCTAGAATTGCAAGCCCATAACACCATCTGCTCTCGAGTTACAATTTTGATCGCATCTTAGTCATAAGACTGAAGCTCAAGGCACACAGGGCTCCGATTATTAATTTCAAATATGCAGCACAAAGTGCAGTTTGGGTCCCTCTTTTCGGATCAGCCTCTAAGTCCGCAAAGTTACTGAGCTGAATTCCAGACGCACTTGTTGGAAAAGACATGAGCTTACCATTGTGCTTCAGTTTATGCAAAATGCTTAAAAAAAAAGAACTGAATTACTGAGAAATCACATGCCATGCCATGAAAATCAGAAACGAACACTCCCTTTCAGCAATATGTAATGCGCCCATTCTTGAGGCCAAGCAAAAGCAAACTGGTCACTAATGCTCACCTTGTATGTAGGACGTTTAGTTCTACGGCCCTTTAAAATAAACACATTTCAGATTTTGAAATGCAAATTTTTGGAATGTTTAAAAGCAGCGTTTTTTTAAACTGCTCTTGTAACAAAGATCAGAATGCATTCAACTGAGACATGAGAAGGAAGAGGTAAGACGGTCCAACGCAGGTCTAAACGGCATTCCACAAACTGTTAAAAAGGTGGCATACCAAGCATCAAGATAAGAAATTCTTAAGACATAAAAGCTAACCCGCATGCGAGAGCACTTTTTCATTTCTTCGTCGAAAATTTTTCGAGCATCAGGATTCAGCTTTAAAAATATCTGAAGCCTTCTCAAGCCCTAAAAGCAGCCAATATGAAAAACAACGAAACAGTTCTACGTAAACTAAAAAATCATTTCTATTCTGCACGTTTGCTAAGTATAAATCAAAAACCAGTAACCTCTCCTAGCGGATTCCTAGCAATTTCTGAGATCATTTTTTGCAATGACGGCTCGTAATTTATCGTTGGCACCTGCAACGTTTGCGTAATCTTTACTGTTTCCTTTTCCTTTTTTTTTTTTTTTTTGATAAAATCAGGCATTTATGAAGAAAAGAAAGGCGCTGGCGGAAGCGGAGCCTTTAAATCCTATTATAAGCCAAACCAACCTGTCCGGGTAATTCTCCATAAGTGGACGATGCTAAACTGCTTTGATTGCTTTTGGTCTGAAAACTGCGAACACATTTCCTCATGTAAAGTACAGCTTCACTTGAATCAGGATCTTTTATTTCGCCAATGTGCTGTATTACCTGAAAAATGCAACTTGCTGCACTAAACTCGTCAATTTTAAAAGAAATTGATGTTAAATGAAAATACAGAGTTTCTACTTCTACCAACCGACGATTTCGTTCCTGCAACCAAGCGCTGTATGCACAGCTCCATTGTGTGTATTGACTCTCTGATACTCGCATTTTCTTCCTGACAAGGCTGGAATTCTTGCATAAAATCATGTATAGCTTTCACGATTTCATCCAAATTTAACGGTATGTCGTTGAGGAACTGCTCGGACTGTTTGTAAATACACTGAAATGTTCTCCGTTAAAAACTCCACAATGATGCAAGAAGAGTTATGGAAGACGCTTCATAAGCTCATCATTTAAAAAGTTTGACTTTGTCTACAACAATCGGACTACGAAAAAGACGCAATTCCGCTTCTGAAATACAACTTCGACTGGCTTTAGAGGAGTGCACATGGCCACGGAATCACAAATGACTAGCTCTGAACACAATAAATTCAACCTTATTTATAAGTGTGACAGTTTTGTTGCGTGGATCATGCAAGGCAGAAGTTAGCATCGAACAAAGAGCCAGGAAACACGCAGTTGGATCTGCATTATCGCAAATTCGAATCGACAAATAATTCAGTGAACGAAATATCTAAAAAATCTTTTGAAATTTTTATTATGCCAAGATGGGAAAGAATTTACTGTCAAGTATAAGTCGTTGGACTTACGGATTCAATGTCTTTTAATCGCTCCATTCGTTCATCTTTCAAAAGATACAGAAATTCTTGTATGAGCATCTTCAGTGCTTCGGAGGATATCCGTGAGCACGTAGTCTCCTCCTTTACAAGCTGAAATACTTTAAATGCTTCGATTATTCAGTTAGATGAAAAAAGACAAACATAATGAGACTTGTATCAGGTCTACTTCACGAACGTCTCCGGCTACAGACTCGAGTGATCTTAGTTTAAGATAACACAAAGTTACAAAAACATACGGAGCTCAAGAAATGGCATATTGTTCGGACGAGTTCATTTAGTTCATCCAAGTTGCCGACATCATCCAAATGACGGCTGCGTATAATTGAAGATTGTGTAACAATCGCTTGGACTACTGCATCAGTTCGGTCCGCCACGTAACGAAAATTACTGGGATCACCAAACAAAAACTGTAACTGGCTGATGGCCGCAGTTGCAGTCGTCTGCGACACAGAGGCCACATGATGAACAACCTGTAGAGACATGCAAGATACATAAGAGATTCAAAATCTAGTTTCACAATTTTCAAATTCTCTATAGAGATTTTCGCGCTAATAACCTTGTCAACGTCGCCGGTTGCAGACTCCAGCGATGTTAATGAACTGACGGATTCGGCACGATCTGAATACTGCGGTGCATGCTTTCTTTTGCGAACAGCTGGTTCGATGGGCTCCAACAATTCCAGCTGGACATTGCTACCAGCCTCCGGATATTCAACATCCCCTACTTCGCTGTCCAGTTTGAAGAGCTATAAAACTTTAGATCAGCACCTGACAACCACGTCTCTTGTACAAATTATATTCTAAAATAAATGGCAGTAAGCATCAGAATAGCCGGTGTGATCATGCGCTTTGTGCAGTTCCGTCCACCGAACGATTGCCTGTTTGGGCTGTGCAAAAGTAAATGAAATGTTGAAAAGTAGTCAGAAATTTCACGCAACGGTAAGTGAAAGCTGAATTTGAAAACTCGAGGGGTGAATATCATTCCACAATTTCAGTCCGCTAATTTTCAGGCTTTCGAGTGATCTTTGAGGCAAAAGTTTCACGTGGTCGTACGTAAGACCTCAGCTTATTTAAGAACTGAATTCTAATTCACGAGATATTAATTCCCCTACCAAAACATTCAAGGCCGTACGAGGTAGCCAGGGGTGTGTGAAGGCTGAATCCAAATTTGCGAGGGTCGTAAATCGATAGGGGACATCGCCCTAAAATTTCAGATTCGCAACTTTCGTGGTTCCCGAAATAATATTCCCCGCAGAAGCTTTTACGAGGCCGTAAGTGATACCCGGGTGCACGGCGACGTTGAATTTGAATTTGCAAGGTCATACGTAGGCAGGGGCATTCTTCAAAAACTTCAGTTTCCTAGACTCCGTGGTTCCCGAGATAATAATTTCCACGTCAAAAATTTTACGGGGCCGTACGTGATACCCGCAGGCACGGGAAGGCTCAATTTAAATATAATGAGAGGTCGCACGTGAGCAGGGGACAGGCTCATAGAATTTCAGTCTTCTAAATTCTGTGGTCCCCGTGATAATAATTTTCCCCGCCAAAACTTTTTACGGAGCCGTACGTGTTATTCATGGACAGGGGAAGGCTGAATTTAAATATGCGGGGTCGCACGTGGGTTGGGAACATTACCCTAAATTCTCAGCTCCCTAGCTTTTGTGGTTCCCGAGTTGAAAGTGCTGCGGACATACAAACACATATGTATATATATGTATATATATGCATGTATTACATATATACATAAGCATGTATATATATACATATGCATATATATGTTACAGCATACATACAGACAACCTGTAACAATACGCGTTTTGTGCAGCTGTCGCACAGCACAAAACGCATAAAAAAGCGAATTCTTGAGCAGCCTTTAAGAGAAGAAAATTTACATCCAGATTTAATGCGAATCGTTTGCGGATTTCACCATTCGAATCTACACGTTCGCTATTACCTTTTTGCTGAAAAATACAACACAATTTTGAAAAAAATAACAAGAGGAATGACAATTAATAAAATCAAAAATCAACACAACACCTGGACTTAGGAGTGTCATATCTTCCCTCAAATG